GGATGGTCTCGATCTCCTGACCTCATGATCCTCCCGCCTCGGCCTCCCAAAGTGCTGGGATTACAGGCGTGAGCCACCGAGCCTGGCCTGTGTGGGGTTTCTCCACTTTGGCTGCCTGATTAGCCTGAGCTCATAAAGGATGTGGTTTCCTCCCAGGGAGGGGCTCCACAGAGAGGCCAGCCCCCCATTCCTGCCCTCCCCAAGGGCCCACTGTTCCCAGTTCACCCTGGTGGGAACTGAGGCAGGGCAGGAGCCCCTTGCTAGGGTGGGGCAGTGCTAACAGCAAGGGCTGTAAGGACCCTCAAGGCTGACTCAAGGCCAGCTCCAGGCCCGGTGTGGTGGCTCATGCTTGTAATTCCAGCACTTTGGGAAGCTGAGGTAGGAGAATCACTTGAGCCCAGGAGTTTAACATCAGCCTGGGCAACATAGAGAGATCCCATATCTACCAAAAACTGTTTTTCATTCTTGACCAAGCCACTTTAACTTGTAACTTTTTTTTTTTGAGATGGAGTTTCGCTCTTGTTACCCAGGCTGGAGTGCAATGGCGCGATCTCTGCTCACCGCAACCTCCGCCTTCTGGGTTCAGGCAATTCTCCGGCCTCACCTCCTGAGTAGCTGGGCCCACAGGCGCGCACCACCATGCCCAGCTAATTTTTTGTATTTTTAGTAGAGATGGGGTTTCACCATGTTGACCAGGATGGTCTCGATCTCTTGACCTCGGGATCCAGCCACCTCGGCCTCCCAAAGTGCTGGGATTACAGGCTTGAGCCACCGCGCCCAGCCTAACTTGTAACTTAAATGTACAATATAAAGTTGATAATCCTTGAAATTCTCACCTGGCTCTTGTAAAGAGTGAGTCTGCGTCTAACCTTCAGTCTTCGTCATCAGGAGGATTCCTAATTCTTCATCTGTCCACTGGGAAGGATCAGGAGACATGACTTCTGAGTCATGCCCAAAGTGCCAGGGAATCCAGAACCACATGGCTGCACTTAACATCTCACTCGAGATCACCTGGGTGAGCTGGGGGAACTGTCTACACCGGGGCTCAGTGTGCACACCACCACCTGCATGAAGGACTCCATCTCCAGCAGCCCGTGCACGGTGGCTTCTGAAAAGGAGGCCTCCAACGCCAGCGAAAGACACCAGCCAAGTCAGAGCCAATACGCTTGGCCATGTCCACCCCATTGTCCCCGGCCCAAAAACTTTTAATTAGTCAGGCATGGTGGTGCACACCTGTGGTCCCAGTTACTCAGGAGGCTGAGGTGGGAGGATCTCTTCAGCACAGGAGGTCAAGGCTGCAGTGAACTACACACCACTGCACTCCAGCCTGGGCCACAGAGCAAGACCCAATATCAGGGAAAAAAAAAGCCACCTGTGTCCCCTCCTAGTAGGTGACCTTAGCAGGAATCCAGGCCCCGTGATCCTGCAAGCCTCACTTCCCTACTGTATTAAAGTTGGCACTTGCCCCACTCCCTGAGCACTGAGCTCCTAAGTGCTTGGTGAATGTTCTTTATGATAAGGACCCAGAGAACATGCGGTGATGGTCACAGAAGAATGGGTGCCTGGAGGGTGCTCCCACCCTGGGGAACCTGAGTGCCTACCTCATAATTCCATCTTTTCTGCAGACAAGGCTGGAGTGGAAAGGCATCACTGGCCTCACGGTGGCTTGCTGAACCCAGGGACACTGACAGAGAAGGGTTGTGGGGCTGGCTGCACAGGATTTGCCAGGGCAGACCAGATTCCCAGCGTCGGGAAGGACGCTTCCCCAGTATTCAGTCCCACGCCTGCTGGGAGCCTGCCTGGGGCTGCAGGGTTTGCCAGAGGAGCCAGACCTCTCTCCTGAGGAGGGGTGGCCCCAGCCTGCTTCCAGTCACCATCACTCCTTTCCCTTGGGTCTTCCTGGAGAAATCAGCACAGACAGAAGGCGATTTGTTACTAGTTCCTGTCCACCTCCCCCAATGGATAACTGGGCCCTGCAAACTGATTCTTGCCCACTAGCCTGGCCCAGCTCAATTTGTAACAATGTTGGCTAGGCATGGTGGCTCATGCCTGTAATCCCAGCACTTTAGGAGGCTGAGGCAGGAGGATCACGAGGTCAAGAGATCGAGACCATCCTGGCCAACATGGTGAAACCTGTCTCTACTAAAAATACAAAAATTAGCCAGGCATGGTGGCGCACGCCTGTAGTCCCAGCTACTAGGGAGGCTGAGCCAGGAGAATCGCTTGAACCTGGGAGGAGGAGGTTGCAGTGAACAAAGATCATGACACTGCACTCCAGCCTGGTGACAGAGTGAGACTCCATCTCCAAACAAACACACAAACACACAACTGACGGAGCTCAGGAGCTCACACCTGTAATCCCAGCACTCTGGGAAGCTGGGGCGGGGGATTCCTCGGCCCAGGAATTCAAGGCCAGCCTGGTCTCAGGCCTGTAATCCCAGCACTTTGGGAGGCCAAGGCAGGTGGGTCATTTAAGCCCACGAGCTCCAGACCATCCTGGACAACATGGCAAAAACCCGTCTCTACTAAAACTGCAAAACTCAGCTGGGTGTAGTAACAAACCTGTAGTCCTAGCTATCCGGGAGGCTGAGCTGGGAGGATCGCTTGAGTCCAGGAATTGGAGGCTGCAGCGAGCCATGGTCGTGCCACTGCACTCCAGCCCAGGTATCAGAGGCCCCCCTTCTCAAGAAGAAACAAGCCAACCGTAATTATGACAGAGGAAATCAAACTGGAGAGGTGGGGTCAGCCCAGGTGAGCGCAGGCGAGGGCTGTGGGAACCTTCCAGGGAGCGACCCGGTCTGGGCATCACTTTGCAGAGAGGGCTCTGGCTGGGGGAAGGCAGCTGGGAGCCGTCTGGGTGGTCGGGAAGCGAGGTGGGCGAGGAAAGAGGCCTGGGAGGTGGAAACGCAGGGTCTGGCCCTGAGGGCGGGCCAGGTCCGGGCAGCCTAGGTCCCACCCCGCCGCCCTGGAGAAGGGGATGGGGGCGTCCTGCTTCCACCCACGCCCCACTCACGCCTACCTTTCCCACCCTCCGCGCCGCCCCGCCCCCAGCTCCGGTGACCCTGGAAAGGGCACACGCGGCCGCGACGGCGCTGCCTGTTGCGGTCACTTCGTGAAGGCCAGCAATCCCCTGCAGCCGCCCCTGCACCCTGGGACGCCCAGAGGCCGTGGCCTGGGTCCCGGAGGGCGGGCGTGGCGGGGCGTGGGGGGCGTCTCCGCGAGGACCGCTCGCCGTCTCCGGCGCGCCACCCTGCGGCTACCCGGGGAACTGCAGCGTCGGCCCCACCCCGCGCCTGCGCACTCAGACCCGCCCGGCCCGGCAGCGCGGAGCGAGCTCGCCCCCTGCCGGTCAGGTCTGCGCACGGTCCCGCGCCCGGGTCCGGGGTGCCGCCTCGTGGGCCGGGGTGTGCATCGGGCCGCGGTGCCTTCCCGGACCCTTCCCGATGCCCCGTTCCCACAGGCCGGCCGGTCCGCGGGTAGGCGGCTCCCGGAAGCGGCCCACGGGCCTCACCCCCACCAGGGGCCGCAGTCCCACCAGGGCTGGGTTGGGCGCGGCACCCACTCGGGAGCAGACAGAGGTGGGTGGGCACGGTCAGTCCCCATTCGTGCCGCAGACTCTCCTGGTGGCTGCTCTGAGCCAAGCCTGGGCCCTGGCCGGGGATCACAGTGTCCTGGACACAGAGTTCCTCTTGCTCCCCCGTCCCTCGCCCGAGGTGGCCACCCAGCCGTGCCCAGGCCTGCCCGCTGCTCCTGAACCCAACTCGAGAGGCAAGGCTGTGCCCTGGGGAGGAAGGGGCGGCACCCTCAGAGTGTTCTGTTTCTCAAGGAAATCGAGGGGGCAGCCCCGAGGATGGGGTGTAACCCAGAAGGAGCCGGAAGGCGGGGTGGCTGATTCCACACAGACTCTCCATTGCTGGAAACACCACCCCGTTTTCTAGTGACGCCAGCACCCAGCCCCTGCCCACAGCCATCCCTTGCTGGGCCCTCAATTTGGAGTCGGCTTGCTGCCCACCCCCAGAACCCAGTCGCCCCCTCCCACCCTCACCTCCCTACCATACCCCTCCTGACATGGATGTGCGGATGAGCCTGAGGCCCTGGGGTGCAGGAGGAGTCACTACTCCCCAGCCCCCAGCAGGCTCAGCACCCCTGCGCTGCTGTGGTGAGATCCCCCAGCACCAGCAGGACTCCTGCCTCCCAGCTGCAGTCCTGGACACAGCGACACAGCGGAGCCTGGGGCACAGCCCTGGGGACACAGCCCTGCACACAGGGGCCCAGTTTGCAGGTGAAGGCCAGTCTACTCTGAGGCCTGAGTCCAGTCTTGGGGACATGCTGGCCCCAGATGCAGAGGTGGGAGTGCTGGGAGAAGGCAGCGCAGTCCAGACCCTGCCTGGCCCCACTCCTTTGAAGTCCGCTGCCCGCTCAACAACTCCCTCTCTGCCGCAGCAGAGCCGCCTTCCACAGGCCCTGCCCGCAGAGCCCTTCCCAGAGCCACTGTTCCTCCTGCAGGGAGAAGCAGAAAGGGGCAGGTGTGGGCAGAGAGGACCTGAGCTGGCTGCCTGGAGCAGTACTGCAAGCCCCGTGCACCCCTGCCAGGCTGACCATCACCAGCTGACCCGGCATGGCAGTACAAGGACCCTGATCAGAGGCACTGGTGGTCGGCCACGTGTGGCACGGAGTGGCAGGGCCCCAGCCCAGGGAGGGAGTTCTCCGAGCTCCTCCTCCCTGTGTGAAGTCTGCCCCAGCTGTCCCCAGTGGAGGGCGGGGCCGTTAATTATTTTCCAGAGTGGGGCCATAGCTCACAGGCCTTGCCTTTGCCTGTGAGGCCCCAGGCTGGGGGTGCCCATCCTGGGGAGGGGACAGACTGGGAAAGAGGTGGAGAGAGGTGTTGGGGAGGGACATACAAACACACACACACACACACACACACACACACACACACTCTTACTTAGTCATTCAACAAACATCAGCTCTCACTCTGGTCGGGGGTAGAGCCTGAAAGGAATCAAGACTGACCCCATTTCTGCCCTTGTAGAGCTCATGGGTAGGTGGAGACAGGGATGAAAATCACCCACAAAGAAATAGTTGCAGTCTGTGAAGGGGGCAGAGCCACAGCCAGGACTCTGGTCATGGATCGGAGGCCAGGCAGGGCCTTCCTCCCAGCATGGCCTGGCTCCCCAGGACTCCCCACTTCTTCCCCTCTCTGTCTCCTCCTGCTTTGGCCCTCCTTGGCACCTCCCCAGGGGAAGAGGTTTACTGGGCCCAGCATCGGGAGCAGCACAGCCTATCTCCCCTTCCAGATCCTCACCTCCCAGCCACGACATCAGGCTGACCCTCTGCATGTCTCACAGCCGGAGGATGGACAGACAGACCATCTGCCTGGTCGTCTGGCTTAGACAGGGTTCAAGATGAGCTCGGGCAGTGTGGACCCTAAAACCTCCAGGGGCCTTGGGAGAATCTGGCTGGGAAGAAGGAACTTGTTGATATCTGTTTCTTGGCAGAGGACATTCAGACAGAGAGCAGGATGCAAGGGACCCTCCCAGGATTGCAGGAACGCTCCCCTCCCTCTTTCCCTACAGCCTGGGCTGTCCATTACCTTGTAGCTCAGAGAAGGGGATCCACAGTCCACGGGTCATACAGGAAGGAGCTGGCAGAGCATCGAACCTGGGCCCCCCATCTGCAAGGCCAGGGAGGAGCTGCTCAGGTGTCCTGGGGCGGAGGGAGGAAAGCCACTGTGTGGGTGACCAGCATGGATGAGAAGTTCCTGAAATTATCAAATTTCACCTTTACAAGCCACTCAATGCAGTTACTATATGACTGAGCAGTTCCACTACAGACAGGAATCCTGTGTCCGCACAAAACCATCGCCTGGATGATCACGGCAGCGTTTTTCATAAGAACCCCTCAGCCGTGAAGAGGAGCGAGGCACTGACACACGCCACAGTGTGCGGAGTGAGAGACGCCAGACACAAAAGGAAATTGTATAATTCTCTCTTTTTTTTTTTTCTTTTTAGAGATGGGGTCTCACTCTGTCTCCCAGGCTGGAGTGCTGTGGTGCAACTTCAGCTCGCTGCAACCTCTGCCTCCCAGGTTCGAGGGATTCTTGTGCTTCAGCCTCCCATGTAGCTGGGACTACAGGTATGCACTAGCACACCTGGCTAATTTATTATTATTATTTGAGATGGAGTTTCGCTCTTGTTGCCCAAGCTGGGATCTCAGCCCACTGCAACCTCTGCCTCCTGGGTTCAAGTGATTCTCCTGCCTCAGCCTCTCAAGTCGCTGGGATTACAGGCCTGTGCCATCACGCCTGGGTAATTTTTTGTATTTTTAATAGAGATGGGGTTTCTCCATGTTGGTCAGGCTGGTCTTGAACTCCCAACCTCAGGTGATCCACTCGCCTCAGTCTCCCAAAGGGCTGGGATTACAGGGGTGAGCCACTGCGCCCAGCCCACACCTGGCTAATTTATGGTAGCGATGGAGTTTCACCATGTTGGCCAGACTGGCCTCAAACTCCTGACCTCAAGTGATCCGGCCGCTTCGGCCTCCCAAAGTTCTGGAATTACAGGTGTGAGCCACTGTGCCTGGCCATATTTATTGATTTCTTTTTTAAGAGATGGGCTCTCACTCTGTCGCCCAGACTGGAATGCAGTGGTATAATCACGGCTCACAGCAGCCTCAAACTCCTGGGCTCAAGTGATCCTCCCACCTCAGCCTTCTGAGTAAGCTAGGAATACAGATGCATACCATCGTGCTTGGCTAATTTTGAAATATTTTGTAGAGACTGGGACTCCATATGTTGCCCAGGCTGGTTTTGAGTGAACCTCCTGCGTCAGCCTTCCAAAGTGCTGGGACTGCTGGTGTGTGTCACTGCGCCTGGCTAGTTTGTAAATTTTCTGTAGAGACGGTGTTCTGCTTTGTTGCTCAGGTTGACCTTGAACTCTTGGCTTCAAGCAATGATTCTCTTTCTGTGAAATGTCCAGAAAAGGCAAATCCGTAGAGACAGAAAGTAGATTCCTGGTTGCCAGGGGCTGCGGGAAGGGGAGAGAATAGGGCATAATTGCTAATGGACACAGAATTTCTTTTTGGGGTGATAGAAATGTTCTAAAATTGCTTGTGGTGATGATTGCACCACAGTGAACATACTGAAAACCAGTGTGGCTGGAGTGTATGGTGTCTGAATCACATCGAAATCACGCTGTCACCGAAGAGGCCCTTCACAGTCACGACTGGGTCTTCGTTTTACAAAGAACGGTCTGGGCCCGGCGCAGCGGCTACGCCTGTAATCCCAGCACTTTGGGAGGCTGAGGCGGGCGGATCATGAGGTCAGGAATTCGAGACCAGCCTGACCAACAAGGTGAAAGCCCGTGTCTACTAAAAATACAAAAATTAGCTGGGTGTCGTGGCTCGTGCCTGTAATCCCAGCTACTCCGCAGGCTGAGACAGGAGACTTGCTCGAACCCAGGAGGCGGAGGTTGCAGTGAGTGGAGATAGTGCCACTGCACTCCAGCCTGGGTGACAGAGCCAGATAGTCTCAAAACACTAAACTAAACAAACTGGTGGCTCAGAGTTGGTGGGAGCCTGAGGAGGAGGTGGGGCTGGACCAGCCTCAGACCAGCGTCTAAGCCCTGTCTGTCCCTGTTCCTGCCGGGCCTTAAGCTCCACCCCATCCTCTACTGCCAGGGGCTCTCAGCTGCTGAGGCTTCACCCACGTGGTTCCTTGGCCTGAAATGCTGTTCTCCTCCTCTTCACCGGGCTGTCACCTCCAGAAAGCCTTCCCGACCTGTCCTCCCACGCATACCCACTGAGCGACATTGATGGAGTGCCTACTGAGTCCCAGGATGTTAGGTGCTGGGGACCCACGGGTGAACAAACAGCCCCGGTGCTGCCATCCTGGGCATCCCCGGGAGTGCAGCCACCCGTCAGCCGATTGCCAGATGGAGGGAGGGGTCAGCTTTCAGCAGAACCCTTGGAGCTGACTCCCGGTCCCTGGTATCTCTCCCCCTGCCCCCAGTGCGTTCCACATCCTGCCATTCTGGTCAATTCCTCCTGGAAAGTCCTTTGGCCCTCAGCGGGGACTAAGGAAAAAGCATCCGGCAGGGGGATGGACGGCAGAGGAAAGGCCGGGAGATGGACATGACCATGGCGGGCCTGGCCAGGGAACCAGTGCTGGAATTTCAAGTCCTGGTGGGGACTGCTGAGATTGTGAGGTGGGTGTTGTAAGGTGGGACACCTGCTCCCGCCCCGAGCCAGTCCATCTGGAACAATCCCGTGTCAAGCTAGACCAGAAGAACTTTCTGTGCCCTGCATGTGCCAGCGTGCGCTCCTCACAAAGCCGTTCCCAGTGCCTGACGTGGGGATCATGTGGAGGCTTGCACAGACGAGCTGGTGCCACCCGCATGTCTGGGGCCCAGGCTGGGGGTCTGGTCTGCGGTCTTCACCCCGTCAGCCCTGTGTGGCCCCCTCTGACCAGGGCTGCCACTGGGTGGGAGCTGTGGAATGTCTGTGGGTCGTGGAGGCCCTCTGCCCCTTGAGGCAGCCCAGCTGCTGGGACTTGTCCAGATACCGTTAGGGCTGGAATGGCTCATTAATGAGCAGAGCTCAGGGCAGGGGCTGCGAGCCGGTGGCTGGAAAGATGCTGGGCCTTTTCGGGGAGTTTGTGCCTGCCTGGCACCAACCCTTCAGCAGGAAGGCTGGGGCAGAGGCAGAGAGAGGACCCAGGTCTAATGCCATCTTTCCCCTGGGATGAGGCAAGTTATTCACCCTCTCTGAGCCCCGCTGGCCTCCCCTGCAGGCTGTTGCCTGCAGTGAACCTGGCGGGATGTGAGGCTCCTGCAGTGTCCAGCCTCCCACAGGTCCCAGCCAAGAGGCCCCTGAATCTCACGCCCCTCAGAGGCAGCCCCTAGGGCAGATCCTGGGCTCCTTCCCTTCCCCAACACAGAGCTCCCTGAGTCCTTCGCACCTCCAGTGGGGGCCACTTTGCCAACTTCCGAAATGCATCACTGACGTCTCAGGGGAACGCCAGGTGGACCAGGCTGGGTAAATGGGGTGACCTAGTAGACAGAGCAGGTCTCAGGCCTGAATTCAGCTCACCACTGGGGCCCTGGGAGGGAAGCCTGTCTTCTCTGAGCCCGTCCCTTCCATTCTAAAACTGTAACTAGAGGTGACTTGGCCTCTCAGCCACCAGGCTGTGACCCTGATGTGTGGCAAGGTCTCTGACCCCTGACTGTCAGCTGGAAGTGTAGGACGCATCCCATTCCCAGCCGCAGACTTCCCCGACACGTTTTGGGACCCCTGTCTGCACACTAGGGTGCTGGCCGGTCCTCGTTCTCCCTTAGCAGGGCGAATGCCCGGATCGACGGGCTTCCTCGGTCCCCTTGGTCTGGCGAGGAGGCTCCCACTCCTGCAGGCCAAGGCTCGGCCCGTGCACCTGCTGCACAAGTCCAGGAGTAGGTCGCGGCGGGGGGTGGCGGGGGAGGCCATCCGCTTTCAAACGGAAGGTCCGGGGCCGGCGCGCCGCCCTGTCCCTGCCCTGCGTCCCGAACCGCCGCCGCCGCATCGTCCCCGCGCAGGGGTGAAGACGCCCTAGCCAAGCGAGCCAGAGCCTGGGGTCTCGGAGCGGGAGCGTCCTGGCAGCTCGAGTCGCGCCCGGGTGGTGGCGGCTGCCGGCGGGTCCCAGCCCCTGCATTGGCCTCGGAGGGGGAGGGCGTCCCGGCCCCGCCTCTGGACCCGCCCCGCGCCCGCTCCCAGGCTGCGGGGCCGCGGGGCGCAGAGCAGAAACCGGGCGCCCACGGGCTGAGTGGCGCGCGGGCCGGGATGCGCGCCCTCTTGCCGCCCCCGCTCCCGGGACAGGGCGCGGCGCGACCCCATGGCAGGTAGCGGCGGGGCCGTGGGCGGCCAGGGCGCGGGGGCCGGGCAAGGGGCAGCTCTGCCGGCGTCCCGTGCGCCGCTGCTGCTCGTGGTCCTGGTGCTCGGCGCCTACTGCCTCCGCGCCCTCCCCAGCCGCTGCCCGCCGGCCGCCCGCGCCCCAGGGCCGGCCCCGACGCCAGCCGAGACTTCCAGCTCCGTCCGCCGCCCGGGAGCCACGGACCTGCCCGTAGCCATTGGCCCCGGCCGCCGGCGCTTCCCGCAGGCGCTCATCGTGGGCGTGAAGAAGGGTGGCACGCGCGCCCTGCTGGAGTTCCTGCGGCTGCACCCCGACGTCCGCGCGCTCGGCTCCGAGCCCCACTTCTTCGACAGGTGCTACGAGCGCGGCCTCGCCTGGTATCGGTGAGCACCCTGGCCCGTCCGCCCTGTCCGCTTCCGTGCGCGCCCCGGCCGGCGCCTTCCTGGGGAGGGTATCGTGCGCCCCAGGGAGCCGCGGGGCGAGGTCTCCGGGCACTGGGGCTGGGACCACTCTGTTGGGAAGCCCTGGCTGGACCCGGGGACGCGGCTCGGGAAGGAGGAATGGGTATCTGGCTAGGATTCCCTAACACTTTGAAGACACTAGGGGAAAGCCCCGGTTCCCTTCGCTCTGCTGAGGGACCTACCGGGACGGGGGGGAGGCGGTGCAATCCCAGCCTGGAGGTCCGTCCTAGCCCATGGGATTACCTGGGAGCGTTAGAAATGCCTCTCCCGCCCTGTCACTGGGCGCGCAGGTGTGACTCTCTGACCTCTGGCCAGGTACCCTAGAAAGGACCCTCCAGGTTCCAGGCTGGGCAGATGGGGTCACTTAGCAGACAGAGTAGGTCTCAGGCCTGAAAGCATCCTTCCTCCCCAAGACCCCCAACTCTGAGCACAGGAACCCTCTCGGTGGTCATGGGAGTCCAGAGAAGGTCTGGGCTTTGGAAAGGAGGAGGCTGCCTTTAGGTGAGTGCCCAGGGTGACTCCAGCCCCCCGCATGGGGCTCTGTGGCTGTTCTGCCTCTACTCAGGATGGACGTGGGCTGTGGCAGTGGAATGTGGGGAGCATGCAGCCCCAGCTGAAGCACCCCGCTCTGGTGGCTGTTCACCCCCAACCTTGGACCGAGCCCCTGCCAAGAGGACCCTGCCCAAGGCCACCTGGCAAATCAGTGGGAGCGGCAGGACCCAGACGGTTCACCTCCAGATGCTCCAGTTTCTCAGTTCTGATCTGCTGATCCTCTTCCTCCCCCAACTCCTACCTCTATTTGTTAACTTTGCCTTTTGTACTAAAACTACTCTTGGGTTTGGAGGGCAGGGAGGGGCTCCGTGAGAGCAGGGGGGCTGGCTTTTGAGATCTGGAGGGCTGGTGCCAGCAGTGGGTGCTAGAGAAGTCAGGTGGGGCTGGGGGAGGTGGAGTCCATCCTGGGGCTCACCTGGCTGAATCAGGCATCTTCAGCTCAGGCTCCGGAGACAGACCTCACTCCCCTGATGGTGGGCAGGGTTCAGAATGCATCCCTAGTCCCTGCTGCTGGGAGGAGGGGAGGAGGAGCTACTTGGGAGGCTGAGGCAGGAGAATCGCTTGAACCCGGGAGGCAGAGCTTGTAGTGAGCCGAGATAGCACCACTGCTCTTCAGCCTGGGCAACAGAAAGAGATTGTCTCAAAAAACAAACAAACAAACAAAAAACCAAAAGAAAAGCAAGAAGAGGCAAGGAGTGGGGTGAGTAGGGGAACCCCTTAGTTCCTGGGGTGCAAGAGCAGTGGGTGCAGGGAGGGACCCCGGCTTCTGTGGGACTCCACTTCCCATCAGTCCTGGAGAGAAGCTCCTGTGGTGGGGATGCAATCCCCCTGGCACTTTCTGGCTTCATCTGCTGAGTCCCAGGCCCGAGGTGTGGGGCAGGAGGAGGGAGGCTGAGACAGAGGAGGGAGGGTCACCCAGGGCTGGATGGAAGCCGCAGGGAAATGCACACCAGATGAGGTGGGCTCCGCAGGGAGGGAGGGTCGGGAGGGTCCTCAGAGCAACTTGTCAGATGTTTGTCACACAGAGGTCGAGTCCTCTCCCTTCCCTCCTCCCCCATCTCTCCCACCCTCATCCATACCCCGGCTAGGACAGGCTTCTGATGCCTGGGGAGGGAAAGTAATTGACCCCAAAGATCTCAAATCTCTGAGCTGGTTTGTGCAAGAAGGGGCCTCGAAAGCCCTTGCCGCCCCTCCGTGTTCCCACCCCCTTCCACGGCAGGGGGTCTGGGAACTCCATCCCCCTTCGGAGTTCTCTGACTCTTTGGAGAGAAAGCCTGAGGGGGGTGGCAAACATTCCTGCGTCAGTGCTGGTCTCTCCAGCAGCGTGAAGAGGAGGATATTCAGTCATTTGTGTGGCGTTTGGGAAAGGAAAGGGGTGGGCTCCTGGTCTCCCCCGGTGCCTGGGGTTAGGGTGTGTCCATGATGGGAGGGAAGGGCCTGGGGCGTCCATCCTGGCAGAAGGGTATGAAGGGAGGCAGTGACTTCAGATGAGGCCTGGCAGGGTCTACCCTCCCTGGCTTCTCTCTGTGAGTATCGTCATCGGGTCCCGTGGTGGGGGGGGGGGGTGCCTCCCCTTTGCATGACCTCCTTTCAGGGACAGGAGTGCCCCTGAGCTGCTGGGCCTCAGACCACCTGAGGTCTCTGTGTTCGTTCCTGGGACGCTGGGTGCGGTTCCCACGTGGATTCCAGCTGGAGGAGGTGGGATGGGGAGTGCAGCGGTTCGGTTCGGGGACTGACCCCACCCTTCTAGGTGGGCTGGAAGGAGGCAGCCCCCAAGGATGGGAAGAGGGAGGGCTGAGCCCCACGCTCACCCCTGGCACCCCTCCCCCTCCCAGTCTCAGTGCGGCTGCCTCCAAAGTGGCAGCAGGCGGGTGGAGGGAGTCCCTGCTCCCTCTGCCACCAAGATGGAGGAAGACTTGTCTGGTGACGTCTGTAGGCCAGCTCTGCCCAGGGCCTGGCTCTGAGAGGCCAGCAGGCTCCCGTGCTGCCCACCCCCACTCTGCCCTGCTTATGGGTGGTGTTGTGGGGAAGCTGGATTCTCTCCCGCTGCCGTCCACACACATCCTGTCCCACCTCCAGCATTCTCTGCTGAGCACCCCAGCTGAGTTCTCCTGGGGGTCTGAGCAGGAAAAGGGGACTCAGGTCCTGAGTCTGGGGGTCACTTCTGGCATGTCAGCCTCCCGGCAGGGGGCACTCCTGGAGCAGTCAGCAGGGGTGTGGGAAGCCCCCTCAGAGGGCAGGAGGCAGGGCTGGGCAAGGCCGGGCAGGGCACCCCTCCCTAACACAGGTCCCACAGCCTCTGCCTCTATTGACCTAGTTCCCAGCCTTCCCCAGCTCTCCCTCGGAGCTGTTTGCTCAGCTGACCTGCCCCGCCCTGCCCTGCCCAACTTCACCCCGCACTACCTGGCTGGCAGGTGCTGCCCTGGACACTGCTGGGGGTGCCTGGGCCTGCCTGGGCTGGGCACCAGGATGGGCTCTCTGCCCAGGTAGGCCAGTCCTGGGGTAAGGTCGGCTGATTCCCCTGGGACCTTGGGACTGGGTCAGTGCCCTCCTCCCCTGTGTCAGAATGACGAGCTCAGAAAGGCCCCCTCCCCGGCCTGGCACCAAGGCAACTGGCAAGATCTGGGGGGCCGCAGGGGCCCAGGGTCTTGGGAAGGATCCTCAGACTGGCACAGCCACTTTTCTGACTTTCCTCACACATGCGGGGCTCCGCTGGTAGCTTTTGGGCCTCCCGAGTCCAGGTCCAGGTTGATGACAATTCCCAGACCTACAACTAAAGATGGGGAGAGGCCAGGCGAGGTGGCTCACGCCTGTAATCCCAGTACTTTGGGAGGCCAAGGAGGGTGGATCACAAGGTCAGGAGTTCAAGACCAGCCTGGCAAATATGGCGAAACCCCGTCTCTACTAAAAATACAAAATTAGCCGGGTGTGGTGGTACATGCCTGTAATCCCAGCTAATGGGGAAGCTGAGGCAGGAGAATTGCGGGAACCTGGGAGGTGGAGGTTTCCCCGAGCCGAGATCATGCCATTGCACTCCAGCCTGGGCAACAGTGAAATTCCATCTCAAAAAAAAAAAAAAAAAAAACCAACAAAAAACGGATAGGGAGAGAGGCTGGATGGGGTGGCTCACCCCTGTAATCTCAGCACTTTGGGAGGCCGAGGCGGGTGGATCACAAGGTCAGGAGTTCAAGACCAGCCTGGCAAATATGGCAAAACCCCGTCTCTACTAAAAATACAAAAATTAGCTGGGTGTGGGGGCGACTGCCTATAATTCCAGCTACCTGGGAGGCTGAGGCATGAGAATCACTTGAACCCAGGAGGCAGAGGTTGCAGTGAGCCGAGATCACGCCACTGCACTCCAGCCCAGGTGACAGAGCCATATGCTGTCTCAAAAAATTAATTAAGATGGGAGAGATGTAGTTACATCAGGCGGGGTGGGCGGGCTACTTTGTGTTGAGGACATTGTCAATAATTGGTGATTTAGGGGATGCTCTCAGCCACCAGTGGAAGGGGAACCTGGAGGGATGCCGGCTGAGAGGCCTGCCAGGTGGCAAGGCCAGGTGGGCAGGCCTCAGGGTCCTTGGTCTGGGGTCAGAAAGGAGTTCGGGGCAGCCTAGTTTCGGGAGAGGGTGGGTGCAGTGGGAGGGAGCTGGCGCTGCAGGTGAGGATGGCAGAGATTGCGTGGGGAGGATACGTGGGTGGTGAGGGGCATGTTGGGGCGACCATCACCCTCTTATCCTCAGAGCAGCAGGAGGCAGGGCAGGCGGAGCTGGGCTGGGCACCCTCAGTGCAGGTTCCAGGCTGCCCAGCCATGCACCTAAGGAGGGGTGGGCCGGGCGGGGAGGAAGCCTCGCCTACCTTGGAGGCCTGGGCGTCTCCTGGGGCCGGTCTGGGTCTGGGGAGGCTGAGGCCCCCTCTGCTCACACCCGTCCCACAGGAGTCTGATGCCCCGAACCTTGGACGGGCAGATCACCATGGAGAAGACCCCCAGCTACTTCGTGACGCGAGAGGCGCCCCGCCGAATCCACGCCATGTCCCCGGACACGAAGCTGATCGTGGTGGTGCGGAACCCCGTGACCCGGGCCATCTCCGACTATGCCCAGACGCTCTCCAAGACCCCGGGCCTGCCCAGCTTCCGCGCCCTGGCCTTCCGCCACGGCCTGGGCCCCGTGGACACGGCCTGGAGCGCCGTCCGCATCGGCCTGTATGCCCAGCACCTGGACAACTGGCTGCGCTACTTCCCCCTGTCCCATTTCCTGTTTGTCAGCGGGGAGCGCCTGGTCAGCGACCCGGCCGGAGAGGTCGGCCGCGTGCAGGACTTCCTGGGCCTTAAACGGGTCGTCACGGACAAGCACTTCTACTTCAACGTCACCAAGGGCTTCCCCTGCCTCCAGAAGGCCCAGGGCAGCCGCCGGCCCCGCTGCCTGGGCAAGTCCAAGGGCCGGCCCCACCCGCGCGTGGCCCAGGCTGTGGTCCGGCGCCTGCAGGACTTCTATCGGCCCTTCAACCACAAGTTCTACCAGATGACGGGCCAGGACTTCGGCTGGGACTGAGTGGCACCCTGGGGAGGCCCGGGACCTTGACTGACATCCGCTCACCCGGCCAGAGCAGGCGGTGTGCACATGCTGCACGGAGAGGGATAGTTCAGAAATAAAAGCTTGGGACCCAGTGCGGTGGCTCGCGCCTGTAATCCCAGCACTTTGGGAGGCCGAGGCGGGCAGATCACAAGGTCAGGAGTTCGAGACCAGCCTGGCCAACATAGTGAAACCCAGTCTCTGCTAAAAATACAAAAATTAGCCAGGTGTGGTGGCTGGTGCCTGTAGTCCCAGCTACTCGGGAGGCTGAGGCAGGAGAATTGCTTGAATCTGGGAGGCAGAGGTTGCGGTGAGCCGAGATTGCGCCATTGCACTCCAGCCTGGGTGACAAGAGTGAGACCCTGTCTCAAAAAAAAAAAAAAAAAAAAAAAAAAAAAAAGCTTGGACCCAGATTTTTCCTCAAGACCTGGAGGTTGGAGGATGGAGGTGCTGCCTCCAGGGGTGTGATAACCATACCAGTGACCTCCACTGGGCACTCACTGTGTGCCTCTTGTCACCCAAAACTCTTTTTTTTTTTTTTTTGAGATGGAGTCAACCTCTGTGGCCCAGGCTGGAGTGCAGTGTTGAGATCTCAGCTCACTGCAGCCTCCACTTCCCGGGTTCTAGTGATTCTCTTGCCTCAGCCTCCCAGGTAGTTGGGGCTACAGGCGTCTGCCACCACGCCCGGCTAATATTTGTATTTTTTGTAGAGATCTGGTTTTGCCATGTTGGCCAGGCTGGTCTCGAACACCTGACCTCAAATGATCCGCCTGCCTCGGCCTCCCAGTGCTGGGATTACAGGTGTGAGCCACCGCACCCAGCCCAAAACTCATTCTTTGTACACCCTCAGAGGTGGGCGGTGTGTCTTGTCAGGTCTAGCATGTGAACTTGGAGAGGCTTAGGGCCTGCCCAGTGACATGCGGTTTAGCCCTAGTGACACTCGGGGCCACACACTTCTCAGACCTGGGAGGTTGGGCGAGGCTGTCCTCAGGCTCGGGATGAGGAAACTGAGGCCGCAGGCTGCTCTGTGGACTGGTGGGGCAGGATTAAATTCGGGTCTGCACCTACCACCTTGGTTCATCCCACATCCAGGTGCGCAGTGGCCTCTTCCTTCTGGAGCTTTCTGCGGAACTGACGGAGTGTTCGTGAGAGCAGCGAGTGTTGGGTGTGTGGGTGGGGCGATCGATGATTAATAGCCTCCTAGACTTCCTTGTAGAGCCCCACCCACTCTCAGGCCCCACCCACTCAGGGCCCCACCCACTCCCCCCAGGCTCCTGCTGCCCCAGTACCGCTGTGTTCTGCCCCCTCCCGCTGGGGACAGGGCTGGAACCAGTGGCCATCTGCAGCTCAGCTGCCCGCTCATAACTGAGGCCAGACTCAGGCAGGCTGGGGTGCCCCGTCCACCCCATGTCCTGGGCACGGGAGAGTCCCCTCAGTCATGACTCTCACCTGCTCCTGGCCACGTGCGGTGTTCCCGGTGCCCACCAGCTGTCCTGATGATGACCCCGGGGCTGCCTGGGCTCAGCTCCAGGCCTGTCTTGGGGCCTGGCTGTGGCCTACACAGCCTGGCTGAGCCTTGGGTCCCACAGCCCTGATGTGGTCTTTCTGCCTCTCTTGGAGGCACAGAGATACAGGCAGTGAGGAAGGGTTTGCAGGAGGGCCACCTGTCAGCTTTGAGCCAGTGGCTCCATCCGTGACCACAGCCACTGTCTCTGCCACATGACGGCTGGGTGAGGAGGGGAGGCAGGGGCTGCATCTAGATACCCATCCCCGTTCCTGTTAAGTTTCTGGGCGGAGTGGCCTCTCCCATCTGTCTGCAGCTGCCCTAAGGGGCAGGCGCTTCCTCCAGGCCCCTCCGTCCCAGGCCATGACAGAGGCAGGTTCCGGGTTCCCCTCCAAGCATGCACCCAGAGACTGCAGTGGCAACGTGGTGGGCAGATGTGGTCCCAGATGTGGACAAGTCATGGGCCTCGAAGTTCTGATGTGGGTGGAGGGGAAAGAGCCCGCCTGACTGACAGCAGCCACGGGATCCATGCCCGGAGGGGATCACTGGGCTTGGCTGCTCTGTCCCCACGCCCTGCACAGGTGTCCCCTGTGAAGACAGCCAGGCTGCCTGCCCTGGTCGGTGGGGCTGGGAGGGAGGCAGGACAGCCCCTGGCCCCTGGTGACCCAGTTCCCGCTGGGTGCATGTGAATTTCTTCTTGCCAGACACACCCTTCCGATGCTGGGATAGTTTCACGGGCTGCTCTCCGTCGTTCTCCAGTGAGCTCTCTGGATGGCAGCCGGAGGCAGTCAGGGGTAAACCAGACCCAGTGTTGTACAATCCTCTGACCCCTGCCTTTACCCGTTACTGGTTTTAGGGTGAAAAACAGACTCCTGACCACAGCTGTTACAGTCCTGTAAGCCTTGCCTGCCCCTCAGCCCTACGTGCGCCCCTCATTCCAACACGCCCACCACACTGGCACCTGCCAGCTCCTTCCGCCGCCATGCTCTGTCCGAACTCATGGGCTTTGCACTGCTCCCCCTGCCTGGAATGCCTTTCCCTGCAGAAGGTGCCCACGGGGATGGAGGCAGCCTTCGAGGGGTAGCTGTGCTTTCACTGAGGCTCTGCTACTTTCTTCCCTCTGTTTAGGGCTCCCTTTCCAAGCCCAGCAAATCACCCCACTCTTCCCTTCCCGACAGAGCTGTGGGGGTGGGGTGGGGCACTGCTTTGCCTGGCTTTGGGGCCTGAGCCCAGGGCCTGGGGGGCAGGCCCTGGAAGCAGCGAGGGGAGAGGGTGGGCTGGCATGTTCTGCACCCTGCAAGTGGGAACTCCACCTAACCGCCAGCACCCCATGAGGGTGAGGTGCCCAGCTGTGCCTCTGAACACACGGAGGGCAGATGTGGGGGACCTACGGGCTGCATGCGGGGAGGGGCTCCCTGGGAGAGTCATCGGCCTTTAATTAAAGTCCCTAAATTGCTTCCCTAGCTGCTTCGTGGGTTTTCCATGTTGGAATGTTCCAGATGGGTCTAGAAGTGCGGATTCAATTACCCTCTTCCTGTTCCGCCCTGTGGAGGGGAAGGGCCTGGAGCATCTGCAGCCCTCCTGCCCCAGCCAGAGTGGATAGAGGGGGTCACGGGCTGGGGTGGGGGTCCTCACAGCCCTGGGGGTCCAGGGAGGGGCTCGGAGAAGCCTGGGGAGGGGGCTGCTTCCACCTCGAGGGTCCTCACAAAGCCCTGGCCCTCCTGTCCCTTCTGGCCAACTGGGACGGGTGGGTGGGACTGGGTGTCCATGCTCTTTGCCCTGAGCCTTGCACACACAGGCATGGAATCCTTGAGCAGGCCCTGGCCCCAGCAACTCAGCCCCAAAGGGGAGACAGGGAGGGGTCAGCCCCTGGGCCCACCCTCTCCACGGGCCTGAAAATATTTATGAAGCCCCATAGCTGTGGTAGAGGAAGAGAGGGGACAAGAAAGGGCCAGCAGCTTGCTGCCTCTCACTATTCCAGCACTTCCTGTGAGGCCCAACCCTGGGACCTGAGATCCCCAGTTTGCAGGGAGTGGTGGGAGAATCTTCCTCCCTCCCCTGGGGCAGGGGTCCTCACGGGGCTGATTGCCTGACCTGGGGGGTCCTCAGAGCTCAGCTGTGGCTGCTGACCCCAGCCCTCTGTGGGGGGATGGGCCTGCGGCCACTGGTTCTGGGTGGCCCCTCTGCCTGGGGCTGGGCCGGTTGCCCTGTGGTCAGAGCATGGGGCTGGAGGGTCAGGGCAAGGTGGCCGTGCAGGCCAGAGCCGGGGAGGGACGGGGAAGCTGGCCCCCCGCCTGGGGTGAAGCCTGGATTCTGGGGTTCCATGGTGGTGAGCGTCTGAGTCCCCTGTGTGCAGGAGGAGAGGTGCTTTGGGGAAAGCTCAGTTTCCCCTGGGCCATGTGGCCAGATTTAAGGCCCCTCACAAGCCTGAGATGGGACATCCTGGGCTCCAGGAGGGGGCTGGGCCACAGGTGAGTGACTTAAAATGAACTGGGTCCCCTTGGAGCTTCTGTCGCTACCCCTTTCCTGGCTCCCCAGGCCTTAGCCCCTTCTCCTGTCTGCCAGCCTGCCCCAGGTGCCTTGTTCCCCTAAGGAGCTGGGCTTCCAGGTGGGCTCCTCTGCAGCTGCTGGGCCATGGCCCAGGACAGGCCGGGGACCCCATGAAGGCCTGGGATGCTTCCCCTGTCCCTGCACAGGGGCTGCAACTTCGCTGACCTCAGGAATGTGGTGGTTCATTTCTGTGGGACGCTGCCTTTCTAGAAGGTTTCTCTCAAACTGGCAAGGGCTGACTTCTGCAGTCTCTCTGTCATTGGGACCAATGCTTATGCCAGAGGGCAGGGTGGGAGGTGGGGGGTCAGGGGCAGCCTCGGGTTCGTGATGAATGCGTCTTATCCATTTTAGCCCTTGGGATGCTCTGGGCAGCTGGGAGCCGTCCGTGCCCCTGGGCAGGGCCATCACCTGCAGGCAGCTCCCACTCCTGAGGCCCAGACTCCTTTTGTGCCCTCACGAGCTCTCGGGTCCTAAGCTTGCTCTTCCTGTGTCCTGCATGCCAGCCTTATTCCCCCGGCGGCACATGAGCCCCTTCTCCATCTCTGCTCCCGGATCCAGGGAGGCTCTAGGAGTAGGGGTGGGACCCGGCTGAGAATCTGGAGAAAGGGGAGGTGTTCAGGGCACAGTGGCTGAGAGAACCCCATGGTGCATCTCCTTCTGCCCACAGGCACCCACCCAGGGTGAGAGCATGTGCTTCTGAGAACTCCACGGCCCACAGGGCAAGGGTGGGGGGCACACAGAGGCCCAGCAGTGCAAACCATATAGCTGCCAAGAAAGCAAAGCATGGGCCGGGAGCGGTGGCTGAAGCCTGTAATCCCAGCACTTTGGGAGGCCAAGGTGGGCGAATCACGAGGACAGATCGAGACTATCCTGGTCATGGTGAAACCCTGTCTCTACTAAAATACAAAAAATCAGCTGGGTGTGGTGGTGTACAGCTGTAGTCCCAGCTACTCAGGAGGCTGAGGCAGGGGAATTGCTTGAACCTGGGAGATGGAGGTTGCAGTGAGCCAAGATTGTGCCACTGTACTCCAGCCTGGCAACCACAAGACTCCATCTCAAAAAAAAAATAGCTGGGTGTGGTGGTGGGCGCCTGTAATCTCAGCTACTTGGGAGGCCGAGGCAGGAGAATCGCTTGAACCTCGGAGGCGGAACTCGCTGTGAGCAAAGATGGTGCCACTGCACTCCAGCCTGGACAGCAGAGTGAGACTCCTACTCAAAAAAAAAAAAAAAAAAAAAAATGACCTGTAAGCAGCCTGAAGCAGGTCCTTCAGGAGGTGTCTGGAAGAAGGCACTGCTGTCACAGGAGATGCATTTACGGCTCCATGTGTTTAATGCCCCTAAAGACCTTCCAGTGGGACAAGATGTGGAGGTGGGACAGGGATTTGAGATCCTGGCCCTGTCAGGCCTACCTACACTAATGTGTGTGCTTGTGTTGTAGCCTCTAAAAAGTTAAAAAAAAAATTTGGGCCGGGCGCGGTGGCTCACGCCTGTAATCCCAGCACTTTGTGGGGGCCGAGGCGGGTGGACCACGAGGTCAACAGATCGAGACCATCCTGGTCAACAGGGTGAAACCCCGTCTCTACTAAAAATACAAAAAATTAGCTGGGCATGGTGGCGTGTGCCTGTAATCCCAGCTACTCAGGAGGCTGAGGCAGGAGAATTGCCTGAACCCAGGAGGCGGAGGTTGTGGTGAGCCGAGATCGCGCCATTGCACTCCAGCCTGGGTAACAAGAGCGAAACTCCATCTCAAAAAAAAAAAAAAATTAATAGAGAAAAGCTTATTGAATAATGTAAAGAAAGCAAGTGATGTGTTTTGCTTTAAGCTAAGTGCTACTGTAAAAGTGAAAAAGTTAAAAAAAGAAAAGTTTATAAAGTAAAATATTTATAGTAAGCTGTTTCGCTTATTAAAAATACACACCACACACACACACATATATTTTCGGGTTGGAGTCCTGCTCTGTCACCAGGCTGGAGTGCAGTGACATGATCTCGGCTCACTGCAACGTCCGCCTCCTGGGTTCAAGCGATTCTCCTGGCTCAGCCTCCCAAGTAGCTGGGATTACAGGTGCATGCCACCATGCCCAGCTAATTTTTGTATTTTTAGCAGAGATGGGGTTTCACTATGTTGGCCAGGCTTGTCTTGAACTCCTGACCTCAGTTGATTCGCCAGCCTCGGGCTCCCAAAGTACTGGGATTACAGGCATGAGCCACCTCGCCTGGCTTTTTTTTTTTTTTTTTTTTTTGAGACAGATTCTTGCTTTTGTTGCCTAAACTGGAGTGCAGTGGCATGATCTTGGCTCCCTATAACCTCTACCTCCTGTGTTCAAGCAATTCTCCTGCGTCAGCCAACTGAGTAGCTGGTATTATAGGGTGTGTCACCACACTGGGCTAATTTTTGTATTTTTAGTAGAGACTAATTTTTGTATTTTAGGTTTTGCCATGTTGTCTAGGCTGGTCTCGAACTCTTGACCTCAAGCAATCTGCTTGCCTCAGCCTCCCAAAGTGCTGGGATTACAGGTGTGATCCACCACGCCCGGCCTTACTGTGCATTTTCTATGTATAGATATGTTTAGGTACAGAAATACCTGCCACTGTATTACATTTGCCTACAGTATTCAGTATGGTAATGTGCTGGATGGGTTTGCAGCCTAGAAGCAATAGGCTAGACCATGCAGCCAAGGTGGGTAGTAGGCTATGCCAGCTAGGTTTTTTTTTTTTTTTTTTTTTGAGAAGTTTTGCTTTTGTTGCCCAGGCTGGACTACAGTGGCACCATCTCAGCTCACTGCAATCTCTGCCTCCTGGGTTCAAGCGCTTTTCCTGCCTCAGCCTCCCAAGTAGCTGGGATTACAGGCACCCACCACCACACCCAGTTAATTTTTCTTTTTTTGAGACAGAGTCTTGCTCTGTCACCCTGAATAGAGGGCAATGGCACGATCTCGGCTCATGGCTACCCCCGTCTCCCGGGTTCAAGTGATTCTCCTGTCTCAGCTTCCTGAGTAGCTGGGATTACAGGTGTGCACCACCATGCCCAGCTAATTTTTGTATTTTTAGTAGAGATGGGATTTCACCATGGTCAGGCTGGTTTTGAACTCCTGACCTTGTGATCCACCTGCCTCTACCTTCCAAAGTGCTGGGATTACAGGCATGAGCCACTGTTTCCTGCCTTTTTTTTTTTTCAGAGACAGGGTCTTGCTCTGTCACCTAGGCTGGAGTGCAGTGGTGCCACCACAGCTCACTGCAGCCTTAAACTCCTGGGCTCAACCAATCCTCCTGCCTCAGCTGAGTAGTTGGGGTTACAGGCACATGCTACCATGCCTGAGTAACTTTCCTTTCTTCCTTCCTTTTTTTTTTTTTTTGAGATGGAGTTTCACTCTTGTTACCCAGGCTGGAGTGCAATGGCGCGATCTCGGCTCACTGCAACCTCCACCTCCTGGGTTCAACCAATTCCCCTGCCTCAGCCTCCCGAGTAGCTGGGACTACAGGCACACACCACCATGCCCAGCTAATTTTTTTGTATTTTTAATAGAGACGGGGTTTCACCTTTTGACCAGGATGGTCTCGATCTCTTGACCTCGTGATTCACCGCCCTCGGCCTCCCAAAGTGCTGGGATTATAGGCGTGAGCCACCACGCCCGGCCCCTTCCTTCCTTTCTGACCACTGAAGCCATGGAGATAGCCAGGTGCACATGCCACCTGCAGGGGACGCCCCAGCTCTGGAGCCGTGGGGCTTGGGACATTCAGCCCCATCTCTTATTTTTATTTATTTATTTTGAAACAGGGACTTGCTCTGTCCCCCAGGCTGGAGTGCAGTGGTGCGATCTCAGCTCAGTGCAATCTCCGCTTCTCGGGTTCAAGCGATTCTCCTGCCTCAGCCTCCCGAGTGGCTGGGATTACAGGTACCCACCACCATGCCTGGCTAATTTTTGTATTTTCAGTAGACACCGGGTTTCACCATTTTGTCCAGGCGGGTCTCGAACTTCTGACCTCAAGTGATCCACCCGCCTTGGCCTCCCAAAGTGCTGGGGTGACAGGGGTGAGCCAGCCACCCCCACCTCCTGAGGAACTAAGAGACTCTTCTGACAACAAGCGTTGCTGAGGCTTCCAGGGACACACAGGACAAGATCCTCCCCCTCAAAGCCAGGCTCTGGTTCCGAGGCTGAGGAATTCCTTTCATGCTGCCTAATCTTAGCCACATTGTGTGTACTTTTTGCTGGAGGCACCACCGAAAAGAGTCAGGCAACCCAAACAGTTAATGCAAAACTGTTGCCAGCAGGATTTCATTTGCAAGTGTTCTGGTGACGGGAAGCCAGCTCCGTCACCGTCACCGTCACCAAAGAACAATCGCCGATCTTGTTCTCCTCTCTGCTCCCAGCACTCCTGGGCCGGCCCCGTGTGCAGGGGGAGAGCTGGACGGACCTGACAGCCTCCCACGGTCAGATGCTATCGTCTTTTCCGTCTCTCACGAGGGAGGACCACAGCCTATCTGATGGAAAGCTGGTCTCCTGCTGAGGACGGGCAGCTGTGCAGCAGGGGAGGGGACTCCTGCCAAGCACGCCGGGGTTTTGGGGAGAAGCATCTGGAGACTGTCTGGCCCCTGGTTTCACTGTCTGGACTCTGGCTGGGAACTGGGGCAGCTCCCTTGTGCAGGGATGATCGGGGGCGCTAGGCATCCATCACTGGCTGGTCCTGTTTGTCAGGAGCACAGTTGGGGGATTCGTGCAGGCCTGGGGAGAGCTCAGCTAAGGGCCCAGAGTCGTGGCCAGCTGGACAAGCTGGAGGACGCATAATCAGGAATCCCTTGGTCCCTGGGGAGATCACTGCCAGACTCACCATGAGCTTAGAAACAGCCCCGGATGGCCAGGTGCTGTGGCTCATGCCTGTAATCCCAGCACTTTGGGAGGCCAAAATAGGTGGATCACTTGAGGTCAGGAGTTCAAGACCAGCCTGGCCAACATGGTGAAACCCCGTCTCTATTAAAAATATAAAAATAGGCTGGGCGCGATGGCTCACCCTATAATCCCAGCACTTCAGGAGGCTGAGGTGGGTGGATCACGAGGTCAAGAGATTGAGACCATCCTGGTCAACAAGGTGAAACCCGGCTCTACTAAAAATACAAAAATTAGCTGGGCATGGTGGCGCGTGCCTGTAATCCCAGCTGCTCGGGAGGCTGAGGCAGGAGAATTGCCTGAACCCAGGAGGCGGAGGTTGCGGTGAGCTGAGATGGCGCCATTGCACTCCAGTCTGGGTAACAACAGCGAGACTCCGTCTCAAAAAAAAAAAAATAAATAAAAATAAATAAAAATAAAAATAGCCCGGCTTGGTGGCACATGCCTGTAATCCCAGCTACTCTGGGGGCTGAGGTAGGAGAATTGCTTGAATCCGGGAGGTGGAGGTTGCAGTGAGCCCAGATCGTAAAACAGAACAAAAGTGAAACTTTAGCCAGGACGGTGGTGTGTGCTTGTAGTTCCAGCTACTCAGAAGGCTGAGTGGGGAGAATCGCCTGAGCCCCGGATTTCAGACTCCAAATGATCAATTGCAAACTGATTTTCTTTCTATACTGATTAGCCCAACTCATTCCAGGATTCCTGCAGCACACTATGCTGATGTACACAGATAGAAGAGACGGTGACTTACTGATCAGAGGGCAAAGAGGGAGAAATTTGGGTTGTGTCATCATCCAACATGAAGTAGCTCCTGTGACTTGTACGCAGAGACGAGAAGACCGGCGAGACGTGATTTGCAGATACAGTATGGGCTGTGCCAGTTTGTAAAAAAGAGAAGAAAAGCCAGGCGCGGTGGCTCACTTCTGGAATCCCAGCACTTTGGGAGGCCAACGTGGGTGGATCACCTGAGGCCAGGAGTTTGAGACCAGCCTGGCCAACAAGGAGAAACCCCATCTCTATAAAAATACAAAAATTAGCTGGGCCTGGTGGCAGGCACCTGCAATCCCAGCTACTCGGGAGACTGAGGCAGGAGAATCGCTTGAACTTGGAAGGCGGAGGTTGCAGTGAGCCAAGATTGTGGCACTATACTCCAGCCTGGGTGACAGAGCGATACTCTCAAAAAAAGAAAACGAAAACGATATGCTTAAATTTTAGGTTCCATTTCTCATCTTTTTCTTTTTCTTTTTTTAAAGACGGGGTTTCACCATGTTGGTCAGGCTGGTCTTGAACTCACAACCTCAGGTGATCCGCCCGCCTTGGTCTCCAAAGTACTTGGATTACAGGCGTGAACCAACATGCCTGGCCCTATTTCTCATCTTCTAAAGTCGTGCTTCTCAAACAGTGAGCGAACGAATGGCCCGGGAATCTTGTTAAAATGCAGATTCCAATTCAAGGGGCCTGGGAGGAGACTGAGGTCCTGTGTTTTAAACCAGCTCCCTGCTTGGGGCTGATGCTGACACCAGTGAGATCCCTGTGCACACAGCCTGTTTAGGCTGGGTCTTCTCTAATTTGCATACACAGTATCCCAGCTCTGACATCCAGGAACATCAAGCTTGTTCTTTCCTGCCCCTTGATGCTGCTTTTTGTTCTGTGCCTCCTCTTGAACCCTACCCTGTGCTTGGAATACTCTCTGCCTGGAATACTCTCTGCCACCTCTTCACTCCTCCTCCAAGAAGCCTTCCTTGACTGCCTGCTCTCTGCCCTCCGAGGACTCTCGGGAGCAGACTGTGGGCAGCAGGCCCCAGGGCGGAGGTTCTAGGCCTGGCTACAAATTAGAATCCCCTGGGAGCTTTAAGCTCCCCCCCCCGCCCCACCCACTGTCACACCTGAGACCAATAGAACCAGAATTTGTGGGGGTGGGACCTAGCATCGGTGAAAAGAGATAGTTCACAGGTGTCTATCGGGCACAACATTTGCAAAGAATTGACGGCATCTGATGTCTCTTTAACCCTCTTGGTAAAGTTCACTGTAACAGTTCACTGTGGCTCATGCCTATAATCCTAGCACTTGGGGAGGCTGAGGCAGGTGGGTCACTTTGAGCCCAGGAGTTCGAGACCAGCCTGGGCAACATGGTGAGACCTCGTCTATACAGAAAATACAGAAATGAGCCAGGCATAGTGGCGCATGCCTATTGTCCCAGCTATCAGGAAGCTAGGGTGGGAGAACTGCTTGAGGTCCGGAGGTAGAGGCTGCAATGAGCCAAGATTGCACCACTGCACTCCAGCCTGGGCGACACAGCAAGACCCTGTCTCAGAAAACAAAAGAAAATTTAATTATTTTTAAAAAAAGGCCAAGTCTGGTGGCTCATGCCTGTAATTCCAGCACTTTGGGAGGCTAAGGCGGGTTGATCACTTGAGGTCAGGAGTTCGAGACCAGCCTGACCAACTCAGCAAAACTCTGTCTCTACCAAAAATATAAAAAAATTAGCTGGGTGGCTGGGCGTGGAGGCTCACACCTGTAATCCCAGCACTTTGGGAGGCTGAGGTGGAAAGATCATGAAATCAGGAGACTGAGACCAGCCTGGCCAACATGGTCTCTACTAAAATACAACGTGGTCTCTACTAAAAATACAAAAATTGGCTGGGCATGATAGCTTGCACCTGTAATCCCAACTACTTGGGAGGCTGAGGCAGGAGAATGGCTTGAACCTGGGAGGCAGAGGTTGCAGTGAGCAGAGATCACGCCTTTGCACTCCAGCCTGGGCAACAAGAGCAAAACTCTATGTAAAAAAAGAAAAGAAAGAAGAGAAAAATGTTCTGGCCCCTCGCCTGAAAGCCCCCTCAAGCAGCTGCCATTTGCTCTAATTATGTACAAGTGCCCCAGTCCCTGGAGTAACCGCTATTGCGATTTTCCTTTGGCGACTGCAGGGGAAGAAATGCACCCACACGTTCAGCCCGTCCTGCTCTCAACATTTCCCTCCCCAAGAACCTGCGTCTGGCCTGCCCTGGCCCCGCAGGCAATGGCCCCTACCCCGGAGGCCGTGTGGACCCAGATGCACAACTGACCTGGAACACCACTGAGCGACACGAGACCCAGCGTCAGGCGCAGAGCTGTTCGTTCTGTTGGGGAACATTCCAGAGGCTCCAGGAGCCGGCAGGGCTTGGGGCTCACCCGAGTTTCCGTGTCAGGAGCTCTCCCCAAGCATCTGCTGTGACTCTACTCAAAAAAGCTTCACTGAGTTCGAGCTGGGGTCAGGTCCCAAGAGGGGATTGAGGGAGGAACCGCACAGATGGGGGGGTTGCTTCCGGGGGGCACAGAATGAAGTTGCCCCGCCAGCGCTTGGTGGGCAGAGCCCGGGGTGTGGGAGGCACATTCGGGAGCTGGGTTCACTCAGTCTGTTTGGTCATGGGATCAAATGGGACCCCATTGGAAAGCTCTGGAATGAGGGACCCATCTCTGAGGGTGTTCTAGTGGCTGGCTGGCCACCGCCCACAAAGCCAGGGAAGCGGGGAAGGGGCTCCAGCTCGGCTGTGGGTCCCCTCCCCCGACCCCGGCATGCAGGGATCACAGGCCATGATGAGTGCCTTCGCTTCATCTCTTGGCTCTGGCTTCAGGGCGTTAGTTCTGTATACACTTCTTTTCCTTCATTCTTATTTTTTTTGAGAAGGAGTCTCGTTCTGTCACCCGGCTGGAGTGCAGTGGCGCTGTCTCTGCTCACTGCAACCTCTGCCTGCCTCAGCCAAACAGAGGTCAAACAATTCTACTGCCTCAGCCTCCCAAGTAGCTGGGATTACAGGCATGCACCACCATGCCTGGCTAATTTTTGTATTTTTAGTAGAGATGGAGTTTTGCCATGTTGTCCAGGCTGGTCTTGAACTCCTGACCTCAGGTAATCGGCCTGCCTGGGCCTCTCAAACTACTGGGATTATAGGCATGAGCCACCACGCCACTGCGTTTTTTTTTTTTTTTTTTTTGAGCTGGAGTCTCACTGTGTCACTCAGGCTGGAGTACAATCGCGTGATCTCGGCTTACTGCAACCTCGGCTTCCCAGGTTGAAGCCATTCTCCTGCCTCAACCTCCCAAGGAGCTGGGACTACAGGCATGTGCCACCACACTGAGCTAATTTTTTGTATTTTCAGTAGAGATGGGGTTTCACCATGTTAGCCAGGATGGTCTCGATCTCCTGATCTTGTGATCTGCCCGCCTGGGCCTCCCAAAGTGCTGGGATTACAGGTGTGAGCCACCATGCCCGGCCGTGCGCTGCTTTTAAGTTTTACATTGTGCACCAGAGAAGAGTCAAAGAAAGCAAACATTAGCAGCAGAAAACACCGTTTCTCTGTCCACACGACCCAGGTGTGTCACAGAGTGAACACGGTGTGTGCACGCTCAGGAAAGGCGCAAGAACTGACATTTTACAAAGGTCCCTGAAGGGGTAGAAAACAGGCCCTGAGAGGCACAGGTGCCAAAAATCAATGGGCAAGTGTGTTTGTGCCGCGCTACTGGAATCTGATGTGTTCGTTATAATTGGCTGCCGCCAGCCCCGTCTCCTCTGTTAATTGCACGTATTTCTCTTGACGAACGTGACAGGCTGATAGCAGCGGTGTGGGCTTGAAGACGAGAATGCCTTTCGATCTAACCCTAAAGTCACATCTGTGATCCGAACCTAAGACAGAGAGGAGCCCAAAGGTCGCTTCTCCTCCAGGAATGTCTGCACGGATGTTATTGGGGCTGCTCGCATAATTGTACCACCTGGAGGCAGCCACATGGTGACAGTTTTCCTGGGTCCCTACCATCATGATGCTTGATAGAATGACTCTGCCCAAAGGCTTCCGGCAGCTGGAGTTTGATTCTGCAAAGAAAACAAGGCCGTTGCGAGAACTTCTAGAATTCAAACCACTCAGTCCACCAATGATTGCTAAGATCGTGGGCTCGAGTTCGAGCAGGAACAGGATTTATACATGAGACCAAGGTTTCAAAACGCAAACAGCGATCTGGCCGGGCGCGGTGGCTCACGCCTGTAATCCCAGCACTTTGGGAGGCTGAGGCAGGCGGATCACCGGAGGTCAGGCGTTCAAGAGCAGCCTGACCAATAAGGCTAAACCCCATCTCTACCAAAAACACAAAAATTAGCCTGGCATGGTGGCGCATGCCCATAATTTCAGGTACTCAGGAGACTGAGGCAGGAGAATCACTTGAACCGGGGAGGCAGAGGTTGTAGTGAGCCAAGACTGAGTCACTGCACTCCACCCTGGGCAACAGAGTGAGATTGCATCTCCAAACAGAACAAAACAAAAACTGATCTTCTTTGAGGCTGGGCACAGTGGCTTATGCCTATATCCCAACACTTTAGGAGGACTGCTTGAAGCCAGGGGTTCAGAACTAGCCTGGGCAATGCAGCATGACCCTGTCACTACAAAAAATAGAAAAGTTAGCGGGGTGTACTGGCAGGTGCCGATAGTCCCAGTTACTTGGGAGGCTGAGGTGGGAGGATTGCTTGAGCCCAGGGAGGTCGAGGCTGCAGTGAGCTGAGATCACACCACCCACTCACTCCAGCCTGGGCAACAAGGAGACCATTTCTCAAAAAAAAAAAAAAAAGAAAGAAGAAGAAGAAAAAAAATGTGACTGGGCATGGTGGTCACGCCTGTAATCCCAGCACTTTGGGAGGCCGAATTGGGTGGATCACCTGAGGTCGGGAATTCGAGACCAGCCTGACCAACATGGAGAAACCCTGTCTCTACTACAAATATTAGCCGGGCATGATGGAGCACGCCTGTAATCCCAGCTACTCAGGAGGCAGAGGCAGGAGAATCGCTTAAACCTGAGGTTGTGGTGAGCCAAGATCACGCCATTGTACTCCAGCCTGGGCAACAAGAGCGAAACTCCATCTAAAAAAAAAAAAAAAAAAAAAAAGAAAGAAAGAAAAAATACTGGTCTAAGTGGACCCATGCAGTTCAAACCTGTGTTGGTCTAGGGTCAACTGCACTTCATAAGAAAAAGAGCTTTTTTTCTTTTGGTTTTTGAGACAGAGTCTCACCCTGTTACCCAGGCTGTACTGCAGTGACATGATCTCGGTCCACTGCAACTCACTGCAACCTCCACCTCCCGGGTTCAAGTGATTCTCCTGTGTTAGCCTCTGGAGTAGCTGGGACTATAGGCACCTGCCACCTTGCCCAGCTAACTGTTGTATTTTTAGTAGAGATGGGGTTTCACCATGTTGGCCAGGATGGTCTCGATCTCTTGACCTCGTGATCCGCCCACCTCGGCTTCCCAAAGTGCTGGAATTATAGCTGTGAGCCATGGTGCCTGGCCTGCTTTGTTTTTTTTTGAGATGGAATCTTGCTCTGTTACCCAGCTGGAGTGCAGTGGCGTGATCTCAGCTCACTGCAACCCTTGCCTCCTGGGTTCAAGCGATTCTCCTGCCTCAGCCTCCTGAGTAGTTGGGATTACAGGCACCAACCACCATGCCCGGCTAATTTTTGTATTTTTAATAGAGATGAGGTTTCACTGTGTTGGCCAGGCTAGTCTTGAACTCCTGATCTCATGATACGCCTGCCTCGGCCTCCCAAAGTGCTGGGATTACAGGTGTGAGCCACCTCGCTTGGGCAGAAAAAGGTTTTAAAATGTTTACAAAAGAGAAAGAAAAAAAGGTTAGGCTTTCCCGTCACCTTCTGGAGCAAGCAGGCCACCTGAGGCCAGTCTCTTCCTGCACTTCATCCTCATCACCGCGCAACCGACAGCCACATCTTTATAGTGAATACTTGCCTCCGCGGGGCTTTGACGGCCTCCTGCATGCCAGCTGGCAGGTGCACTTTTGTCAGCAGAGCAAAACCATTGATTTTCTGCCCATCAGTCCACGGCACAAACTGACCAGTTGCCGGTGGCCAGGATCAGAGCTGGAGGGTCCAGCCCTGGAGCCCAGAACCCTTCACAGCACTGGTCCCAGCAAAGGTGGGTGGAATGTTCTCTCCCCACTGAATCACGTTCTGGTGCAGTTTAACTTCCAAGAGGCCGGGCAAGGCTGGGCGCAGTGGCTCACGCCTGTAATCCCAGCACTCTGGGAGGCCGAGGTGGGTGGATCACCTGAAGTCAGGAGTCCAAGACCAGCTTGGCCAGTATGGTGAAACCCTGTCTCTACTAAAAATACAAAAATTAGCCAGGCGTGCTGACGTGCACCTGTAATCCCAGCTACTTGGAAGGCTGAGGTGAGAGAATTGCTTGAAACCGGGAGGGGGAGGTTGCAGTGAGCCAAGATCACACTCGAGCCTGGGCAAGAGAGCAAGACTCTGTCTCAAAAAAAAAAAAAAAAAATCAAGAAAAAGGGCAGGCACAGTGGCTCATTCCTGTAATCCCAGCACTTTGGGAGGCTGAGGCAGGTGAATTCCTTAAGCCCAGGAGTTTGAGACTAGCCTGGACTACACAGTAAGACCCTATCTCTACCAAAAACTTAAAAATTAGCCAGGCGTGGTGATGCAAGCCTGTGGTCCCAGCTACCCAGGAGGCTGAGGTGGGAGGATTGCTTGAACCTGGGAGGTGCAGGCTGAAGTAAGCCAGAACTGCACCACTGTGCTCCGGCCTGAGCAACAGAGTGAGACTCTGTCTCAAAAATAAAAAGGAAAGAAAAAGTAAAGAGGATCTCGGGGAATCACAGGAGGGTTGTTTTGCCATTTTTCTGGGGGCCTGAGCCCTGGAAGCCAGCGAGCACCGTTACAGAATAACGGGCAGGGCAGCAGGTGGCCACGCTGCTGGCTGGAAGCACTGGAGGAGCCTGCATCCCTCCTGTGCACGGAGAGCTCCCGGCTTGTGAGTGCACACACTCTCACGACTGGCTGGGAACTGCACCTAACAGTTGCGATGTGTTCATCATTGCACGGTATTGCTCTTAATCACTTTTTAAGTAGAACCTGCGTGTGTGTGCTGTGTAGGTGAACATAGATGGTGCCTGTCCCTGGGGAGAGGAAAAGAATTAAATCTCGGAATTTGAGACACACACTCTTCTCCAGAAAGCAGGGCCAGCGGCAACCCCAGGCAGCGGTAAGGGACACGGCTGCAGCAGGCTGCGCCAACCACAAATATTTGCACAGGTGAACACCGTAGAAAAGGACGTCAAATGGAGCATGCAGGTGGCTGGGGAGAAGGATGAGCCTCATGGAGCCCCACACCCTGAGCTTCTGCAGGGAGTGGCCGAAGCCTGTGTTCACACACAGACCCAGCAGCTAGCCCCCCTCCACCCCACAAACCAGCCACACACAGGCCAAGGTCACTCATGGCCTTGTGGCATGCAGCCTGAGGTTAATTAAGACTCGCCTATAACCCCAGGCCTTTGGGAGGCCGAGGCAGGAGGATCTTAAGCCAAGGGGTTCCAGACCAGCCTAGGAAACATAGTGAGATCCCATCTCTACAAAAATTAAAATTAAAAAGTAGCCGGGTGGCTGGGCACAGTAGCTCATGCCTGTAATCCCAGCACTTTGGGAGGCCGAGGCAGGTGTATCACGAGGTTAGGAGTTTGAGATCAGCCTGGCCAACATGGTGAAACCCCGTCTCTACTAAAAATGCAAAAATTAGGCTGGGCGCGGTGGCTCACGCCTGTAATCCCAGCACTTTGGGAGGCCAAGGCGGGCAGATCATGAGGTGAGGAAATCAAGACCATCTGGGCCAATGTGGTGAAACCCTGTCTCTACTAAAAATACAAAAAAATTAGCTGGGCTTGGTGGCACACACCTGTAGTCCCAGCTACTCGGGAGGATGAGGCAGGAGAATTACTTGAACCCAGGAGGCGGAGATTGCAGTGAGCCAATATAGCGCCACTGCACTACAGCCTGGGTGACAGTGTGGGACTCCGTCTCAGGAAAAAAAAAAAAGTAGCCAGGCAAGGTGCAGTGGCTGATGCCTGTAATCCTAGCACTCTGGGAGGCTGAGACAGGTGGATCACCTGTGGTCAGGAGTTTAAGACCAACCTGACCAACAATACGGTGAAACCCCATCTCTAAAAACATACAAAAATTAGCTGGGCATGATGATGGGTGCTTGTAATCCCAGCTACTCAGGAGACTGAGTTGGGAGAATTGCTTGAACCCAGGAGGTGGAGGCTGCAGTGAGCCAAGGCTGAGCCACTGCAATCCAGCCTGGGGTGAAGGAGCGAGACTCCAACTCAAAAAAAAAAAAAAAAAAAGTAGCCGGGTTTGGTGGCCTCTAATCCCGGCAACTCAGGAGGCTGAGGTGAGAGGATCACTTGAGCCCAGGAGGCAGATGCTGTAGTGAGACAAGATCGTGCCCCTGCCCTCCAGCCTGGGCGACCGAGTGAGGTTTTCTCTCAAAAACAAAACAGATGAACGGTAAGATGTGTGTTCGTATGTCAAATGTTTATTTTTCTTTACTTAGAACGACAATAAGTAGCAAACGGAACCACTGTGACAAGCTGAGAGAGGAAGGAGTGAAGGAAAAAGAGACTGTGGGAAAAGCACAAAGCTTTCTATTTCGTACCTTTTGTCTGAGTTTTCAATGTGCACCACGCCCTAAAAATTATGTAGCCTTGGATGTAATGCACACACACAAAAGCTCTTTGGAGCCCTCAGTGATTACTATTTTCACCCAGGCTGGAGTGCAGTGGCTCAATCTCAGCTCACTGCAACCTCCACCTCCCAGGTGCAGGTGACTCTTGTGCCTCAGCCTCCCAAAGGGCACGGGAGTGAGCCACCACACCTGGCCACTAGATTTTTTCCCCCTGCCCCGCCCCGAGACAGAGTTTTGCTCTTGTTGCCCAGGTTGGAGTGTAATGGCGCCATCGCGGCTCACCGCAACCTCTGCCTCCCAGGTTCAAGCTATTCTCCTGCTTCAGCCTCCTGAGTAGCT